TTGCTGGCTATTTCCTTTCTATTCTTCTTGGGAACAGAAGTTATATTTCTGGTAACAATACTAGGCAAAGTAGAAGTCCCAATGCTACAGGAGTATACTGCAGAAAGTCAAAAAAAAATCACAAAAACTCAGCATGTACCTTTTATTTACTCAGTGGACTCATTTACTACCTTTATCACTTATTCTCCCACCAGTCTGGCAGTTTCTAAGCATTGTTTGAGAACCAGTTTGAAATGATGGTTAAGGCATCAGGTTAGAAACTGGGAGACTGTGAATTCTAGTGCCACCTTAGGCATAAAGCCATGGGATGACCTAGGGTCAGTCACTTTCTCCCAACCCTAGGTAGAAGCAATGACCAACTACTTCTCATAAAACTTTGCCAAGAAAACTGCAGGATGTGTTCAGGCAATATTTGAAGATTGGGCACAACTGAATGCGGGAAAAATAAAACCAATTGATTAAGTATGATTGGGGTTGCATTCTATCATATTTTGAGAATACCAGCTTAGTTGGCATTATTAAATTTACATATTACATTCATTACATTTCTAGTAGATCTAGGATATTCTGTTTTCCTATGAGAATTGCCATGGCTAAATCAGGGCACAAACCTACTTTGCTAGTTATACTAAAATTTAGTACAGATTTTGTAAAAGTTGTAAAAAAAACAGGTGGTAATTCATACTCCAAATTTGTGAATCTGAATTTGCATTTCATTTTCATCAGCCCAATTTAGCTCTCTTTTGTTTCAAATTTAAATATAATCTTCTCATGAAGTCAGTGGTGTTTCTTTCATAGTTAATTATTCTTATAGAAAACCCATTGGTCAAGTTAAAACATTGTCTTAATGTGGTTCAGTTTGAGCTTAGCAACTTGTCTGAATCCAGACACAGTGAAGTAATGTATGAATCAGACTACTATGGTTTAGCAAAACATAAAACAAACCATAGTCTAGGTTAGCACTGAGTGAGAACCCAACCACTGAAATCAGTGGGAGTTAACTTAGTCACAATTGATGTAAGTTCCAGGCACCTTATTTGGCCAAATGGGGGTTCAGCTTGGAGTGCAGCTTCCATGCTGCGCAGTATAAAAGGCAATTTGGAGAGGTGGAATATAAATGTTTCAAAATAAATGAGAAAAAAATATGCAAATTCAGATACATTCATCTCCTACCCACCCCCGTAAAATATTCAGTATGTCCAGCAAAAACAAAAACATCAGCTTATGCCTGTCCTTATAATAATTATTCTGGGGCTTTTTTTCTTGTTTGGGAGGGGGGTGGGGTGAGAGGAGTGGGTTCAGTTTTGCACCTGGGTTATTTTTTAATCTTGCATCCTTAATGAAAGAACAGCATTTCAGAATCAACAGATGGAGCTGACAGAAGGAAGACTGTATCTTTTTGTGGGTGCACAAACACACACACACTGACACACACACACATTTGCAAGAGACAACAACACAGACCAAGTTTGAGACCACAATAACTCCAGCAACAGTATCTATGGTAACATAAGCTCCCATATAACTCCAGCGAGTCACAGTTAATGAAAACCTTTGAAATGGTAGCTGTTTAATTCTTTCTTTCTTTTAATTTTAGAGTTCTCTAAAAAAAAAATCATTGGCATTTAAATAATGTACGAAAAAAGCTATAATTGTATCTGCCAAAGCCCAAATTCCTACAGGAACCTCAAAGGCAATTATAGCTGAAAAGATAAATTTAAGGAGGAGAAAAAGAGGAACCACAACTTACTAAAGCAATAATGCCATCCTGACTCTTTTTGAGCCCCCAGGAGTCCCCTGTAGAAACAACACAGTTTCATATGCCCCAATGTAGGGTTTCTGGGTGTGCAGGGGGAGGGCTGTGATGGCAAAAACATTACTTCCTAAGTCCTCAGGGGTGGGGGGGGGGCTACAATCAGGCAAGAACAGAATGAATGCTTTTGATTCTCCCACTTTTCAATGTTTTTCCTCTCTTTTTAGAATTGTACTAATTCCTTATATATTAAAAAAAAGTTCCACAAGTATGAACACCAGAGATCATGACTAATACTGTGATGGCATAGTTTCTCTCCTTGATCAGAGCCAATAGTGTGGGTAGGGTTATGCATTAGATTCAATGAGTTCATCACATGTGTTCCCGAAATGCCTTTACAAGTAGTCTTCAAACTACAATCATTCATTTAACAACCATTCAAAGTTACAACAGCCCTGAGAAAAGTGACTTACGACCAGTCCTCACACTTACAACCTGCTGCAGCATTCCCATTTTATGTGCTCAAAATTTGGGTGCTTGGCAATTGGCATGTATTTATTATGTTTGCAACATGTTGACTGCAGTCAACTTAGTAGCTTCACCTAATGCTAACTCCTATTCACAGACAAAAAAGGATATATGGGAGAGAGTTTAATGTGTGATCTCTTTCAACATAGCTGTCTAATTGCAAGCAAAGCTAAATCAACAAATCAATTTGTCTAATCAAGTATCTTGGGGCAGAAAGAGTTAGGAATCCATTCTCTGCTTAAAGAAAAACAAGGTTAATCCAGTTTCTAAAGGTATTGTGTTTTCCCATCAACCTAAACAGGATGCTTAATCAGGGTTGTTGAATAAACAATACTGGTTGAATGCCCAGAACACATTAAGATTAGTACTATATTGAAGAAGCCCAAAAGTTATGGCTAGGTTCATGAAACATACTGAATACATCCATGACGTGTAAACCAAAACAAGACTAGACACAGTGTTTTGGTATAATGTTTAGTGAATTCAGGATATATTTTTTTAAAATTGCTGTGACTAAGCCTCAATCAACTACAGTTTATTAGTTTGGTTGATGCCGCTCATTCTATATTCCTTGATGGAACTCTTTACCCTTAAGATGGAAATTGGCTTCAGCTGTAGGCTGGTTGCCTTAATATTTAAACGGGAGCAGCGATGGTCCCTTTCTGAAAACTTCTCTTAAGAACTCTTTCAACAGGTTAGTATTTTCTTAGTCTTCGGGGTTTTTTCCAAGATGACTTTTGTAAAAGGACAACAAACACTATCTGGAGTGAGTAGTTGAAGGGCATTTTTCAAATTCAGGTGAACTAGTGGAATAGTTACAACCTTTGTAGCTACAACAGTGAGTCAGGTGGTGTGGGTAGTTGGAAAGTGTATTTCAGATAATCTTCTAAAATGTATTTCTTGACAGATTAGAAGATGTTCATTATTTCTAATTTTCCTATGATAAAATATTTTCCCCCTGCCCTCTGCAGGGCAGAGGAATATTATGAAAAAAGACCAATTGTGATTCTGCTCCAATCTAGATTGGGGAAACAAGTAGAAGTCTGAAGCTGCAAGGGAACCTTGAATTAATAATCTGTCTCTGTATCTGGGGGCAAAATAATAGAAATGCAACTTCTAAACATTTAGGATTTTGCTGCAACAATTTCTTAATTAGAAGTTACTTTGGTTGATGCTTGTTTGTTTGTAGTTTTCTTCTGAGTCTTCTTAAGAGGATGTTTTAATAGGAGTTCCTTTTGAGCTTCCTTGGATGTCTGTGGCTGGATTCATTCATTATGTCAAACCATAATGTGCTTTATTTGAACTGGGTCAGTTTGCAACAAATAGTAATAAAAGAAATGCTGTCTTTCTACAGGGCTTCTCTTGTGTTACCTTCACGGAGGAAGCAGTCTATCGTACAATGGCTTTCAGGGGTGATTCCCAGCTGAAATATTTTTTTCCATTTCCAATCCAATACCCCAGATATTATCCTCTCCCTTCCTTTTCTCAAAATGCAAGGAGCTCCTTTATGCAACGAGAGGAAATAATGGCTAGGTGAGAAACACTTTCCACTTATATCTATGGGTCAACCTTCCCTGGCTTCAAAAGTTTTGGGAGCACAGATCCCAAAATTCCTAATCAGTAGTCAGCAGATATACACTGCTTTCTTGAATTTTGGCTAGGTTTGTGTGTAACATAAGCCATAGATCATGGTTTATAAACTCATTGTGGTTTATAAATCATGATTTATGGCTTATGTTAATACAATCAATTATGGTTTAACCATTGCTAAACAAATAATAATTTAGCATGACATCTGGACCCAGTCCTATTATGTCCATCACTAATCCTGGATAGCCTTCATTCCATCAATGAAGAAGTTTTAATTAAGTAGTTTGTTATATAGCCTCAACATGACAACAACACAGCAATCCAGGTTCTCCTGGCCAGAGTTCTTTAAACTTAAAACCTTAAAAAAAGATTGTTTTTACACTGTAGTTTTATTTGCTTATTACATCAATCTGAGTCACTTCTGTGTAATTAGTGCCTGTATAAATTTGCTTAATAATATAAATCATAAATAGTTGAATTCCATTGCAGAGAAAATGCTGCAGACATAATTCATCTTAAATATCACTTTAAGAATATCATCTTGAATGATATTAGATGAAGATGAATTAAGAATATCATCTTAAAGTGCAATGGCCTTTCAGGAGGCATTGTTTTAAACCTCCCAGAGTCAGCTAGATGAGATGGCAATGTAAAAGCTGAATAAAATGATTTTTTTCCCCATAAGAAATAGAGCATTTACATTTGCTGGAATGTCTAAGTATTCAGGTTTATGTGCGTGCATGAGGAATTTAGTGTCTGCAGATGGCATAAGATTGTACCCCTTCCTCAGTCCTTTAAACTGATTCTAGCCCTAGTTTGCAAATATTGTGTGGTCAATGCCATATATTGTCAACCAATAGAATATTACATTCTTTTAATGGTCTTTCAAAAACTGCCCCATTTCTGTACCAGATTCAGAGGAAGAACACAGTCTGCTAAGCTTGCAAGCCACAATCACTGCATTCATACAACACCAAAGCCAGTCAGATCAAATTATAGCATGCTCTCATGTGTTAACTTACAATACTGTACAACAGGAGCAAATAGCAGATATGCAATACAATTCTATCCACATTTGCTCTAAGTTCCTGTATTTTTAAGACACTGGCTTTAATTCTTTGTATGGTCTTGGTCTTTTTCCTTATCCCTGAGTAGGACTCCGAACAACTTGAATGACCTCAGCTCAAGCACCTCTGACAGCGACGATTTCACTATCCCAGATCCATTCCTTACCAAAAGAATCGTGTCGCAAGTGGAATTCTACTTTTCAGATGACAACCTGTCCAGAGATGTATTCCTCCTGAGGCATATACAAAGGAACAAGATGGGATTTGTGAGCATTAAACTTCTGACAACTTTCAAAAAGGTGGGTATTTTTTTTTTAATGCTTGACTGTAAAGAGAGATGTTAGGCGTGTGCTTGGATCCAAGGATCTGAACATCTTTGCTTTCAGACCATGGTTTCCCAATCTGATGCCCTTCCATATCTGGTCGCAATAACAACTTTTGAATGGTCTATCCATAGAAGCAGACCTTATTACTGACATTATTGATATTGTGACTACTATTTTTTAATTCCATTCCTTTAAACTGGTTTATCCAGTGCTTTTTTTGTAAAAAAAAAAAAAAAAAAAAGGTGCCAGAACTCATATACATCATACAACCCGCCTTGCCTACCCTACAAGGTTCCATCCAAAAAAGGTGCCGGAACTCCGTTCTGGGCGATCTATGACAAAAAAAAGCCCTGGGTTTATCTAATCAAGGCTTAAATGAGATGTGTTGTTACTTCTAACCATTTGTGAATTTTCTCTGACACCAGGACTGAAAAGGTCATGTTTTATAGATTTGTTTATAGATAAGAGATGGTATATGGGATGAATATATGTTTGCCGTCTTAGAGAGAGGAAAGAGTCTCTAAATTTTTTATATTTGTGATAAATGTAAAAGGTTACTTTTGGAGGTCACTTCTTTATTTGTTTTCTCTTTTTTATAATGTTCTTTTCTTTTTCTTCCTCTTTTCCCTTTTCTCTTACACTTTTTATTCATTTCCATACTTTTTTTTTGCTAAGTTTGAATTAGATTTTACTATTATAATTTTAATAAAATTTGGGAATTAGGGAGGTTTGAACTACTTCTGAATATTATCTGTATGTTCTGAACTTAAAATATGTTTTATCTCTTGTCAAGAAAGCTTGCATATCTTTATCAAGGTAATCTTACTACTGATGTTTCTCTTTTTTAAAAAAATAACTAGATGAAATGTTTAACTCGGAACTGGCGAGTGACCCTTTATGCTCTGCAATTCTCGAAGTTGCTGGAACTCAATGAAGATGGGACCAAGGTGAGAAGGAAGGACCCTGTCCAAGAATCTTTGGAAAACATCCCTCTAAACAAGACGCTCCTTGCCTGGAACGTCCTTTCATGTGAACAATCCGTTTTTTCTTCACTCCTGCTTCAAGAAAACTTTCTGTATACAATCACAAAGCTGTTTGGGTCTTTTGGTGACATTGCCTGCATACGCATCTTCAGACCGGGCAAAAAACTGCCCTCAGCGGTGGCAAAATCTACCATTTCCTATCCTGAGCTTTTGTCCAGATGGTGTGCATTGGTGGAATATGAAAAGCTGAAGAGTGCCCAAAAGGCTTTTGGAAGGCTTAGCCACAAGCAGTTCTCCTCTCCTGGACAAAGCATCAAAGTAATCAATCTCTCTACTCTCAAAAAGACGAACATGGTCAGTTGGGAAGATAGTGAGAAGATTGCAGGAGTGTCAAAGCCTTTTAGAAAATGGTCCAACGAATTGTCAAAAGGCCTTCAACATATCCTTGAAGACTCCTCTCCCTGCAGTTCTTCTACAGAACCAGATAGTATCCGAGTTTCTACTCCTATCATTCCTCGGAATTTCTTCTCTGCTCCAGTCATGCCTACAACTAAGCCCTGCAACTTATCAGGTCAGGCCTTCAAATCAAGTCCCTCCAGCATATCACATGCAGGCCCTCTTCAACTACGCAAACCATTGGCATGGCAGCTATGCACCTCACCTGTTTCTGCACTAAAGTCAGGCACATCAGAATTTCAGAAACCATCCAACTCCTGCTGGGGCAACAGAGTAGGTCCAGAAACCTTGGAGACACCAAAGAGGCATGGACCACTCTACAGTCGACCATTCATACGGAAACCAGAGTCCTTTTGTTCACGACCTACTTCCACAATCTTCTATAAACCAGTAGGTGTCTATCCCACAGTGATCCACCTACCTCAAGGGCCTGATGGAACCAGGGGTTTCCACAATACGAGAGGGAGAGGGAGAGGGAGAGCTCTCTTAAAACACTAAATTTTGTGATTTCTTGGCAGGGGGAATAATCTTTATGTATTGTGATTGGGCACATACAACATTTTTTGGAATGAGTTCAATTCCAAGGAATCCAGAAGTCCAAGGAATAAGAAGGCTCTGGAGAAAAAGAGAGTGATAGCCTGCACAGTGTAAAACTGCCTTGTATGAGTTGGCAGATACTTTTCATTTCTCTGTTTTGATTTCCTCCTCTAGTCTTTCTTTCTGTCCTTTCCTCATATCCTCCAAAGATATTTCCAACTTACACTGCTTGCAATATTTGCTTTTCCAACTCCAATTGCAAGATTTGGTGTGTCTCTTGGCTTTCCCTTCCCACTACTTTTTTTTCCTTTTTTTTTTTGACCCTTTGCGTTAATGTTGTATTATCAATGGATAAGATGTCTAAATGATAGATAGTTACAATTGTGATTTAAGTTGTGCATTAATTAGACTTTGAGCACTTGCTTTGTAGTGCTGTGAGAAACCTACAAAGTATGTGCTGTTTAAGAGCAGGCAATAAAAACTGATACTTCAAAGACGCCTCTCTCACTTTTTTTTGTTGCTTCTGTCTTTTCTGCACAAAATCTTGGACAAGGACAAAAAAACCCAAGAGCAGCTGGGGTTACACATTGTCTCCTTGCTTCTTGGCCTACAATCTGGTCAAGTAAAGGCAGCCTAGGCACTTGCGACTAGACAAGTTAACCCAGTGATGGTGAACCCATTGGGCTAGGCATATCAACAATTCAGAAAATGCCTGACTTGGCTGTGCTGCCCCCTCCCCCTCCCCACCCCCATACAAGCACTCACAATTTGTTCTTTTATTTTTAAAAAAGTTCAATCAAATTGGGTGTGGTTCCCCAGGAATCTGCCATATGCTGCTTGCCTTCAGTGCTCTTTTCTTTTGACAGTTCCTTGTAACCTACCTGTGGCAGCTCTGGATTCATGAGGCTTTTGTTCTTGAAGCACCTTTGGATAGTGCTCTTCCGCAGCCTCCGAAAATCACATAAAAGCAAGCCCCATTCTCACACGATTTTCAAAGGCTCAAGAAGTTGTGTAAGAGCACAATCCTCTCATGCAACTTTCACAGGTCATGTGAGAGCACAGCCTCCACAGTCTCCAAAAGCTGTCTGAGAAATGATATGTATTTTTGGGAATAGTTGCTGGGTAATGGGGAGTCACCAAAATGTAGTGTGTCATCCTTGTTGTAGGTGTCATAGATTCACCATTACTGGGTTAACCAAACAGCTGTGAACTTTGAGATCATTCACATTTAGGGCTTTGGGCACAGTGACCTATTCAATGGCTCCTTCTCTGGTTCATGACAGTTTCTAGCATTTGTGATTTTAAAATAAAGCAAAATCCCATTGTTTTGACATGATGTAAAATTCAACATAGGAAAGAAGAAGTGCTACTTCATGCAAGGCATAATTTAGCCTGTGGAAGTAGCTCCATCAGTTTAGAAAAAAACATTCAGAGGGTATTGGAATGAAAACCCATCAGTGGCTGTTATCTGAAAATCAGTGGTTAAATAACAAACATGAGTGGAAATGTGCTACTCAGTACTTGCTTCCTGAAAGTTGTATATATCCAACTTGTGGGCTTCTCATGGCATCTTGTTAGCTATATATGAACAGGCCATTAGCTTATATGGGCTTTGGGCCTGCTCCAGTTAGGTTTTTATAGGGTGTGCAAGAATGGATGCAGGGATCTAATTTTTCACAACTCACCCTTGTCAGCACAAAAATGCTAAATTGGGTGACACATTTCTGATATTCGACTTTATGGAATGAAACAAATACATGATTATCCTAGGATAGTCAGCTTAGTCAGATGGCTCTTCCCATTTCTCTGAGAAGGAGAAGTTAAAGAATACACGTGTTGGCCATAGTCATTTCATTGGAAAGAGGTTTTTTTAAAAGAGTTACATTGGCTTTTTAAGATACTCTGTTTGCTTACAAACATACAAACATCATACACAGAGGCCAATAACTTTATAACTGCAAACGACCGCCAAGTGCCCCATGTCACAGCTTGCAATGTGGAATTCAGGTCTGGATGATGGGCAATAAGCATGGTATTAAGCTATAATGGAAATTAAACTTTGTAATTTAGTGTAATGGGTTCAAGCATTACAATTTGGTCAATAAAACCTGATTAATAATTGTGGCTTAGTATAAAGTCTGAACTGCCAGTGTTGTACATCCACATTATCTTAAAATTACTGTATCTCCTTGACAAAGGTTTATCTTGGTGTTCTTTGCTCGGTCACTGGTGCTGGCAGTGTGAATCTTCCCCAGCTACCATATATCTTTCCTGGTCATTATCTGTAAATTCCACAATAGCTAAACTCGCCCCCTTTCCTGTGAATTATTAAATAACATATCATCCCTAATCTTGAATGTGCAATCTTAAAAAATATAAATGAATTCATTGACAAATGGTGTCCAGTTAACAGCGCAGGGAAGAAAGGTTTTAACTCTTCAATTCCCTGCTATTGTTGTATTTCTGGAGCTAGAACTGCATTGGGAGAAAAGCTTGATATTTTATGGATGAGGGGAAGGCTGAGAAAACTGATATATTTGGGGATTTGCTGACCCTCCTTCCCTGAAATGAAATATTACTTCAAACAACAGCAGTTTCTATGCAGTTATATAAATGCATGCTTACAATTACTTGTATGTTACTTTATTTGATAGTCTATTTTTTCTTTCATAATTTCAAACGGGGTAGACAGCACCCTGATATTTCTCTCCATAGCAACCTGCCCATGAGGTTAGCTGGACACAGAGATTGGTTCTTATCACCCAGTATGTTTCCATGGCTAAGGAAACACTAGAATCTGTGTCTTCCCACTCCTATTCCAACATCTTTACTGCACTGTTCCAAACCCTTGCAATATACATGTCTGTTATGCTAGCTGCATTCAAAACATAGCCCTTTGATAGTATTAGGACTGAGGCCAGTATGTGGCATACCTCCTTCTACTCTGCATTCAAAGACAGCAGATTAATACTGGTATACTACCTCCAGGTACCTGGGTATTAATTCATCCAAACTGTACATAGTATTTTTTTAAAGTTTATTTAATAAGGGATTAACTTTTGATATTCATAATCAAGTATATGATTGTAATGGATCAGATGAGGGCCTTTTCTTTTTTCTTCCAATTTCTACTTCCCATTTTTATCTTTTCCACTCAGAAAACTGACTGATTTCCATGGAAGGGTGTCACAGGGACAGTTGAATTCTAACACATTTGCATAGCATCATAGCCCATTTTACATCTTTCATATCAAGCTAGGTTACTTTTTATGTATACACACATACACAGAGGTAGTCCTCATTTAGCAACTACTTTGGACGCATGCAAATGTGAGTAGATAACTAGGTACCACTTTGGTGGGAAGGTATCAGGATTTCATAGGTCTTGGTATATAGTCATGCTGGCCAACTGATGACCGAAACGTCTTCAGATAACACTGGCTCCCCCAGCTAAGAAAGGGGATGAATACCGCTCCCTAGAGTGAGGAACCTTGGATAGTGGCAGTTCGTAATTATGATGATGATGAAAAAGTAGCTTTAGGACCAGTGCCTCCGTTTACTATAAGAAAGGCCTGCAGTGTAAAATTGATTAAGCAGTGGTCGGCCTCAGGCTATAGCTGCAGCTGGCCAAAGAGTTCTAATGAAGATCACAGAACTGAGCTGTATATACACGCAAATGCTTGTACTGAAGCGTATGATAATTGAGCAAAAGGAAAGCCATTGAGCAAAAGGAAAGTAACTGAATACATCAAATGAGATATTTAGCCTTGTTTCCTGTTGTATTTCTTGTAATCTGCCATCATTTGCAAATAGTAAAACATAAGTGTGTCTTTTATCACTCAAACATCCTTAATTTAACTCATAAATCCTAGCATGGAATTTATTGCATATTCTCTATTTGGTCCTAACATAATACATAATCCAAAGGCAGTATTCACATAAAAACTTGCAACTTATATTAACCAACCACAATTTAGGGCAGTTCCTGAGTTTGTTTCATAGCTCAGGTTATGTGAATTTGATTCAATTATTTCTGCTAATGGAGAAGTATGCTGTGTGAACATACCAAGTCTGTATAGAAAGACTATATAGAAATATCTTTTCTCACCTATAGTATTAGTTTATTCATGCAAGTGCGTATTAATCTCAAAACTGTACAGTTTTTAATACCAGCATATAAATAAAGGCTTCCTGGTATATCTTGATCAATATGTGGTTGGGTTGTTTTTGTAAACTTGTAAAGGGGGTCCTATATCCCTAGATTATGGCATCAATCTGCATGGTATTCCTGCCATCCATTAGAAAGTTCTTACTACGTTGACATAGATGGCAAAAATGGATGTGGAATACAGGTAGTCCTTGGCTTACAACAGTTCATTTAGTGACTGTTCAGAGTTACAACAGCATTGAAAAATGAGACTTATGACCGTTTTTCACATTTACAACCATTGCAGCATCTCCATGGGCATGTGATTAAAATTCGGACACATGGCAACTAGCACGAATTTATGACAGGTTGCAGTGTCCCGGGATCATGTGATCCCCTTTTACACCTTCTGACAAGAAAACTCAATGGGGAAGCCAGATTCACTTAACAACCGGGCTACTAACTTACCAACTGCAGTGATTCACTGTGGCAAGAACGATTGTAAAATGGGATAGAACGCACTTAACAAATGTCATAAGTCAAGGACCACCTGCATTACATTGGCTTCATCTAGGCAACCTGGCATCTTCTATGTGGATTGAATTGCAACTTTCATAACCGCTTGCCATTGAAAATACTAGCTAAGGCTCTATTGCAAAAAATACCAGGTTTACAAACTTTGTGTTAAGTATACTACTGGTAATACTGTAGTAAATGTGATCATGCCAAGTCTACAACTAATATAAGTTGGAGGCAGGTCAAAAGAGCTGAAACATCTGTGCATTCATTTCCAGCCTTTGGTTTTAAAACTTTA